GCAGGTGGCGCTGCAGCTGCTGGAGACGGCGGTGGCTCGCGGGCAGTGGCTGATGCTGCTGAACTGCCACCTCCTGGTCAAGTGGCTGAAGGATCTGGAGAAGTCTCTTGAAAGGATCACCAAGTCCCACCCAGATTTCCGCCTCTGGCTCACCACCGACCCCACCAAGGGCTTCCCCATCGGGATTCTGCAGAAGTCCTTGAAGGTCGGGCTTTGGGAGGGACACCCGTGTGCCCGCAGCCCGGTTCCTCGCGTCCCTACCGTGTGTGTGTGTGTAGACCTTGGGGTGCAGCTGAGACCTCATGGATGCCCCTTCCCAATCCCATCTCCCCCCTCTTCAGAGAGACCTGCTGTCACGAGTGGGTGTTTGTGACCCCCTTCTGCACGTATCCCTAACAGGCTCTGGGCTCGGCTTCACATATCCACATGTGCTGAAGCTTCTTCCCTCATCTTTCCTGGCAGGCCCCACAGCCTGCAGGACTCTGGTGGCTGGGCACAAGTTTCCAGCAGGCCTTGGTTATTTTATTCTCCAGAAGATTCGGTTAGATAGTTTCTGTCCTCTCTCTCTCTCTCTCTCTCTTTCTCTCCCTGGGGCAGGTGGAGGGAAGACTTAACTATTTCATTTTACGGCTAAGGATCCCACGGTTCAGGAAAAGGTTGAGCACCCTCCCGGGGTCCCCTGATAAGCAGGGGCAGGACTAGAGCAACGTCCATCCTGTAACTTCTCCCTTGGGTCCTGGACAAGGGACTGGCTGTGGGGACTAGGACGGACGCTCCCTGAAGATGAAGGGAAGCCAAGGGTCCACGACGCTCAGGCTCTCTGGGGCTGCGCTTGGGCCCGCAGTCGCTGTCATGACATGCTTTCTTCTCTTCCGAAGGTTGTCACGGAGCCACCCAATGGGCTGAAGCTGAACATGAGGGCGACGTACTTCAAGATCTCGCCCGACATGCTGGATCAGTGCCCACACCCGGCCTACAAGCCTCTGGTCTACGTGCTGGCCTTCTTCCACGCCGTGGTGCAGGAGAGAAGGAAGTTTGGGAAGATCGGCTGGAACGTGTACTACGACTTCAACGAGTCGGACTTCCAGGTGATGGTGCGCCCTGTCGGCTGCTTCCCCCCCCCTCCGTCCTTCCAGAAGAAGGACGCATCACCAAGCCTGTTCCTCTCTGAAGGTCTGCATGGAGATTCTGAACACGTACCTCACGAAAGCCTTCCAGCAGCAGGATCCGCGGATCCCGTGGGGCAGCCTCAAGTACCTCATCGGAGAGGTGGGCGCTGCCCCTGGCCCTGAGGCTTCTGGCGCTGTCCTCTGGCTGCTGCTCCCTTCAGCCGAAGGCCGCTTAGGTCTCTGTGGCATTGTCCCGCTCTCTCAGGGCCACTCTTTGTCCAAGCGGGCTCCGCTCACACACAGGTTCCGGGGGCTGGATGCCTCGCCCGGGGCCCAGGCCAGGCATCCTGTGTGCCGGCCTCGCCATGCTTTGGGTGAAGGTCATCAGGCCTGGAGGTCCGCTCCGGAGACCACCACTTTCTCTAGTGCCCACAGGAACTCTTCCCTGGTGGTCCCTGCGTGGTTCAGGTGGTGGCACTGAGTCCAAAGACAGAAGTGGCTGCTGGCTCCTCTGGGTGCTTTGTGTTGGTTATGTTTTGTCGATATGTTCTGGAGATTTCTCTGCCACACACTGGCCTGCAACGCTTCCTGAGAGCTGCTTGCCACTTGGGCTTTATCCCTTGGGAGACCAGCAAAGCCACAGTATGATTTTGTGAACAGTGGCCACAAGCTTATGCGAGTTGACAGGCTTGAGCTGCACAGAGGCAGGGCCGCAGGAGTCTCTAAGGGAGGGTCTGGTCTTGACCGAGGCAGCCTCGGGCCCTAGGAGTCTTGGGGTGCACACAGCAGGTCCTGGGTTCCCGGCCGGCACTCACCCTGTCTGCCTCCAGGTCATGTATGGAGGACGGGCCATCGACAGCTTCGATCGCCGCATCCTGACCATCTACATGAACGAGTACCTGGGAGACTTCATCTTTGACACTTTCCAGCCATTCCATTTCTTCCAGAACAAGGAGGTGGACTATAAGATCCCTGCCGGGGACGAAAAGGACAAATTTGTTGGTGAGATTTCTCAAACACAGAAAAGTACTTCTGAAGCCTTTTCTAGGGAGACCATCGTTTCACCTCTTTGTCTTCCGTGGTTACTGTGGTAGCTCTGCTGGCTTCTCTCCCAGTGGGCGCCTCGGCTGGCCACGCGCTGTCTGTTGGGGCGGTGAGATGGCCTGGCAGGCTCAGCCCAGCTGAGGAGCTGAGCGAGTTAGTTCAGACTTTGCATCCTGGGTTGATGGTTAACAGAACAGATTCTACCTGGAAGGGCAGAGCGGCCTATCTGCATACAGCTGGACTGTGCGGTGGTGCAGACTTCTAACCCTACAGCATGTCACTCACTAAGCAGTGGCAACTGGCCTTGCATGTCTGGAGACTTGGAGACTGTGGCCCTCCGAGATGGAAGGCGCCCTGACGGTGTCGCCTCTGTCCTCTGTTATTGCAGAAGCCATTGAGGCCCTGCCACTGGCCAACACCCCGGAAGTGTTCGGTCTTCATTCCAACGCTGAGATTGGCTATTATACACAGGCAGCTCGAGACATGTGGGCCCATCTGCTGGAGCTGCAGCCTCAGACAGGTGAGTCTCCCAGAGGGTTCCACTGATTTGATGAGGGCCTCAGGTGTTAGCACAGGAGCTACCGGTTGGTTCTTGTGGCTTTCCCACAGTGCCGGCGCCTTTCCCAGAACTGCAGGGCTCAGGGGGTCCTGGTCCAGTCCCCTGCTGTCTTGCTTTCTCTAAAAGTGTCCTTGTTTTAGGGGAATCCAGCAGTGGCATCAGCCGTGATGACTACATTGGCCAAGTGGCCAAAGACATAGAGAACAAGATGCCCAAAGTCTTTGACCTGGACCAGGTCAGGAAGCACCTTGGGGCTGGGGTCTCCCCCACTTCGGTGGTGCTCCTGCAGGAGCTGGAACGCTTCAACAAGCTCGTGGTGCGGATGACCAGGTCTCTGGCGGAACTGCAGAGGGTGAGCATGTTTGCCGCCGTGGTGACCCTGGGGTGCAGGATTGGGTTTCGGAGACGGTCTCTCCAAGGGCTCTTGATTCTAAGTAGGCCTTGGCTGGAGAAGTGGGAATGAGCAGTGAGCTGGACGATGTGGCCAGGTCTCTTTCCATCGGGCACATTCCCGCTATCTGGAGAAAGCTTGCCCCCGACACGCTGAAGTCCCTTGGGAACTGGATGGTCTACTTCCTGCGGAGGTTCAGCCAGTACCTGCTGTGGGTGAGTGGCACGCTGCTAGCCGTTGGCCGGTCCAAGGTCACCCTGGGCTCCCTTGAGCCACCTCACAACGCCCTCTGCCGCGTCCCCAGCAGTCACCTCTGGTACAGAGGACGGGGTGCTCTGGAAATGTTCTCGGATTCTATAAGCATGCCTGCACCTTTCATTTTTCCTTTTCTGTCCTTAGGACTCTGAAGCATACTCTCCATACTGGGTTATTTATTTTGTTTCATTTATTTATTTATTTTTGAGAAAGCAGGATTTATTGGGAGGACAGAAAAGCTCCCACAGTGGGAGACCCGAAGGGGTTGCCCCATACTGGGTTATTTTATTGAAGAGTCTTATCTTGGCAGTTGTTCCATGTTAGTAAGACTGATGGAGCTCATGCCTTTTTGAGGCTTCCGTTTTGCAAACGTTCTGTCTCTTTCCTTCTATGATGGACATCTTGGTGGTTACCATATTTTTTTTTTTTTTGGCCAGTACAAGTAACATTCTGGTGCACACGTCTATGAATACACATTTGAGTATATTCCATGGGTAAATTCTGGAGAGTTGGATGAAAGTGTGTGCATTTTAAATTGTCAGCTCTTATCAGAAGGTTTTCTCAGAAGCTGGAACCACAGCACACGCGTGTGATGACTTCTTCCTCACCTCTCAGCAGCACTGTGTATTCTTCACACTTTGGATCATTGTCTCCCTGATAGGCGAAAGATCGTGTGTCATTGTTTTGCATCTCTTTAACCAGGGTGAGGCGGAGTGCATTTCACATGCTTACATGACGTTTGTTTCTTTTTTCTGGGAATGGTCTTTTTGGATCTCGACTTCATTTGTATTGAGGTCGCATTCTTTCTCATTGATGTTCAAGAGCTCTTTGTAAATCAAAGAAAATAGCCCTTTGTCTGCCAGTGTTGCAAGTATTTCTCCCAGCTTGTCATAAGTCTTCACTTCACTCACTTTCTGTAGAGAAATTGGACATTTGTACCGTGTCAGATGTGTCAGTGTTTTCTTTTGCGACTTCTGGGCTTGTGTTTGCTGCTCCACGGCTAGGAAGACAGTCACTGGGGATTTGCGCTGGTGTGCCTGTGGTTTTATATCTAAACCTTGGCTCCGTCTGGAATGTGGCCATCCAGCTTGTTTTGCCCAGTGGGCTGCTGGTTGTGCCAATGCCATCTTTTGCCACTAAGGTGAGGAGCTCTGTCTTTTATCATGAACTTACCTTCTGGGGCCAGCTTTGAGTCGGGCGTTTGATGGCAGCCTCCAGCTCCCCCACCCTCACCATTCTCTCTCCTCTGCAGGTCACCGAGGGGGAGCCCAGCGTGATGTGGCTCTCTGGGCTGCATATCCCAGAGTCCTACCTCATGGCCCTGGTTCAGGCCACCTGCCGGAGGAACAGCTGGCCGCTGGACCGCTCCACGTTGTTCACCCAAGTGACCAGGTTCCAGGACGCAGAAGAAGTGAACGAGCGAGCGGGACAAGGTACAGCCAGCGCCTTAAGGGTCCCCGGCCTCTCGTTAGGGTTTCTGTCCCAGCCAGCCAGTCAAAGGGGCAAGCACAGTGGGCACCAAAATGGGCCAGGCCATGCTTAAAAGTCAGCCTATGGCAGACGCCTCCGAGGGTGAAAACATGAGTTTTGCTTGCCCTTTCTCTGTGGACACCTGGGACTGATGTCAGACCTGAACCATGTTCACCCTGCCAGGTGGTGAGAAGCGGGCTCCTAGGTCAGAATGAGCCCTTGCCAAGAATTAGGTCACCAAGTGGTGTCCCCATAAACCCTGACAGGGCCAGAGGCATCATGAGAGAGCAGGATGACCTGACTTGGTTGAAACTGGTAAATTGTGCTGTCACTTCTGGCCCTCAGACACTGGGTCACTGTGCAAATGATAGCCGGAAACCACTGCTCTCCGCAGCCATGTTGTCTTAGGCAGAGGCCTGTACTGCAAAGATACAAGCTCTCTTGAGCTAGCCGAAGGGGCAGGGACTCCCGGGCCCCAGCTGCAGGGGAGCTAGCAAGGTCCGGGCTGCCAGTCTCCCTGGGGCATGCAGTTGTGCTGTCCTCTGCATGTCTGCCGGGTCCTTCTCCCCAGAGACCGTTTCTCTGTGAGGTTTTGACTTCTTGCTCCCTGTGGCTCCCGGGCGAGTTGGGGTTGCCACGGAGCCACTGACTCTGGGGCGGCATTTATGTAGCCCACGGGCCCGGGGTGGTAGAAGTCTGAGCGCCTTGATGCCACATTCCTGGGGGAGAGGACAACAGGCCCAGCACCCAGCGGGGGAAAGGCCGCCACCCCACAGCCGCTTCCTTGGGGCCACGGGGGAGGGACCAGGGTCTGCGGGTCGCCTGCCTGGGCTGTTCCCCTCCAATGGGAAGGTGGGCAGGACAAAGGACGGAGGGAGGCCTGGCCGTGTCCTTGGTGAGCTGGGGAGGAGGACGGCCAGCGGCCGTTGTGTGTGTTCTGGTGTGAGTCTGGCTCCGCGTCGACCTGCCTCTGCCTGGTGTCTCTAGGATGCTTTGTCTCGGGACTGTACCTGGAAGGTGCTGACTGGGATCTGGAGAGAGGGTGTCTCGTCAAGAGCAAGCCCAAGGTGCTGGTCGTAGACCTGCCAGTCCTGAAGATCATCCCCATCGAGGCCCATCGCCTCAAGCTGCAGGTGAGGCCAGGTCCCTCCTGCCACCAGTGCCCCTCCCCGTCCCACTGAGCCAGGGCTGGTGCGGCTTGACAGGCCTGTAAGACAGGGTGCTGGGCCCCAACGGGCTGGGGAAGCCCTGGAGAAGTGATGAAAGCTATGACGCCACTTGCCGGGAAAGTGCGTGCGTGTGTGGACGCAGGTCACTCTGCAGGTGTCAGGCTCAAGGCTAGATCCCATGGTCTAGACTGTGGAGCGTCTCCCTCCCTTCTCGTAAAACCAAGGACATCGCTTGAATCACAAGGTAGCTCTACCTGGTGTGGGCCGCAGGCAGCTCCTGCTTCGGGCCAGGATGGCTTTGAGTGTGACTGGGGAGGCCCCGGCCCCATTAAGTGGGTGGGGGTGGCCCGCAGGGCCTCGGCCGCACGTGTGTCAGACGCAGCCTGCAGGAGGGCCCAGGGCCCTCTGGGCACTCAGACCTAGCCGCCACCTTCCCCAGCCTCCCTCCACGAGGCATCTCACCTGCCTCTCCCTCGCAGAACACCTTCCGGACCCCTGTCTACACCACCTCCACGAGAAGGAACGCCATGGGGGTCGGCCTGGTTTTCGAAGCTGACCTCTTTACCACGAAGCACATTTCCCACTGGGTGCTGCAAGGGGTCTGCCTCACCCTGAATTCCGATTAGCCCTTGGGAGAAGACAACTGACTGGCTCAGGAACTCTGGGGCCGGGGCGAGGGACGGCTGCACTGGGGACCTGGCAGGGACGATGGAGTTGGCTGTCATTTCTTGCGGCCTCCCAAGAGGCGGGAGGGGCATTGACGCTGACAGTCCTTTCATTTGAAGTCAGCCATTTAAATCTCCTTCCCTACAAATGAGCCTGAATGGTTTTGTTTTTAAGCTACTTTAAGGATTCTGTGTATTCAAAAAGTAAATCCTAGAGAGCATCTAAGACGTGTCGAGTTTTTTCTCCTCAGAGGAAACACGTGGCCAAGCAGAAGTGCCTGCGCGTCACCGGCCCAGTGAGGATCCTAGCGTGAACTTCCGAGGCGCGTCCTCGAGCCCGGGGTGTGCCAGCAGATGCCTGCGGCAAGAGCGGTCTGCTGGGAGGCCGGAGGCTGCCCGGGCCAGGCAGAGCCCCCTCCTGAGCTGGCAGCAGGCTGGGCGCACGGGGCGGG